ACAATGTCTATTGTGAGAATTATGTTCAAAATCTTTGATCCAGTTGAATTACTCGATTCGTTACGAAAGTAACGAAAACTTGTAAATTCTATGAAAAATTTCATAATCTGCAACAGTATTTAGCAGTGAAGTTACGTACTGAATTTATCGACCTTTATCGTGAGGCTCTTCTTGAATACACTCAAGGTGGCGTCAACATCTCGAAATACCCGATCCGGATGCGCGTACTGTAAAGTTAGAAAGCAATTCCTTAGAAATTGTAGAGATAACAACGAATAACTTTGAGAAATGTTACCTGTAATTTTTCCAAGCAATCACGAAACCACAAGCGATGTTGATTATCCACTGTAAATGATTATAACCGTTATATTTATATATGTCTGAAAACACTGAAAATATTTACTTGTTAAATAAAATGGAAGTACATACTTTTTTTTTTACGAAAACGTCAACCCTTTCAAAGACTATATATATATACTGTATATATATACAATTATAACGCTGATTATATTTTACTATTTTGCACGTGATCAGTCCAAGTTTATTATACAATATTTTGATCGTCAAAAAGTTCGATCTCCTCTAATCCATGAAGGTAAAAATTAAAAGGTATATTATTGTTTTAGTATAATAATAGATTATTTCTAATGAATTACGCGAAACATTTTATCTATTAACTTCGTTAAACTCAGTTGGAACGGTGTAGCATTTTGGAGGTGGGATGTTCCTAATGAAGAAGTATGTGGAATTTGTCGCGTCGCATTTGATGGTTGCTGCCCGACTTGTAAAAACCCAGGAGACGATTGTCCTCTAAGTAAAAGTTCATTTTTATTTACTTAATAACAAATGGTTTTTAACAAGACCGTCTAAAGTTAAGTATTTTATAGTTTGGGGTGAGTGTACCCACGTATTTCATATGCATTGTTTGTTGAGATGGCTTCAAACAGAAGGTAGTCGCGGACAATGTCCTATGGATCGTAGGACTTGGGGTAAGTTTTCAGTAATCGAGTCCTTTTATTTTTTTTTTTGGAATCTACATAACATATATTGTGTGCTTAGTTACAGCAAGATAATGAATAAATTATAATTCCTGAATCCAATTTCTAAAATATTAATAATAAATCAGTACCGGCACTCAAACAATCTCGTTGAATTTGATTTATAAATATTTTAGATTAATAAGTCATTATTTTTCAAGTTTTAAAATTATATTATTTGATATTATGAAAAATTAAAAGTCAATTTTTTTTAATCTAAAATTCACGTGAATGCATATATTCCTATAACTCCGTATCAAAAAAGATAATTTGCAATCTCGTAAATCAAACATGTCAAAAAAATTTTTGTGACTTTACTTACGTTTTGAGACACCTACGCATTCCTAAAAACGCATTATAAATTCTCTAATTTTGATCAATTTTTGAACTTCCAAGGTTTGGAAGTAAACGTTAACATATACTTGTAATGATTTGATTTTCAACCTTAAACTGACATTTGTACAAACGGAAAAATGCTCACAGGTTTTTTTTAACTGCAAAACATAAAACGGCTATAATACTTATTTAACAAAACTTGACCAAAAAAACCTGTACATTAGTGATGTATTCTCAAAAGGTTTGTGATCTATTCCACTTGTCACTTCCAAAATGCCATTTTTATTTAAATTATACAAACTTTCACGTTTCTACTGAAGAGAGAAAAACCGATATATGGCTCGTTCGACAACAGAGAAGTCATCGATAAGGTGATAGTAAATTCTGGAATACAATTATCACAAAAGGTTCGTGCCTTTTGCTTGCACATTTTTATTCAGATATAATTTCATATACACCTTCACTTATTCTCTTCTTGACACAAATTCATCATAGGTACCCTACAATATTGGCTTTCCACCGCTGCTAAGAGGTATTATCGTTGATTTAAAATTATTGTGTTCAGTGAACTTCAGTTATTCTTATGCGTATATATCTTGAGAATAGGTATCAAAAAAGAAAAAGGAACGATAAATCACTCAGGATCAAAATCATTAACACCAACAAACACATCAATATCAACAAATAATCACTCAGTACATCCTTCCATACAAAATCAACCTTTTAATGACCACAAAGATTTAATATCATCACTATCGAATTTAGATCGTCCTACTTTACCAGCCAAATCTGAAATAACATCAGGATCAATCAAAACCGATAATAGACAATCATCATTATCATTATCTACTAATTCAATTGAAAATCTCCCTCAAAGAAATGATACTGTAAAGGGCATTCCCAATTTAAATGGCATAGATGGAGGGACGAAACACTCGATAACGCATAACAATCTAAAGACGAACGGATTGTTGGATGTTCACTCAACAACCATCCCGGTAGCAATAACCAACAAAAATTTACATACAACTAACAACAGCTTTCCTCCACTTGGTGATACAACCACAAGCAATGACCATACTGGAAAAACTCAATCGAACATTAATCGTCCAATTAATGGACAGATGGATCAAAAGAATACTTCAACAAATAGTGAAGCATCACAAATTTCACCATCAGATCAATCGTGTGGTCAAAGCCCAACGTCCCCATTGAATAATACGGATAGCAGCTATGATAACAGCAATAATAACGCGTCTTCCGTTAACACTGCTGTTAAAAATATCAATACAACTGTAGATGGCACCCAGACACAATTGCACACGAAAGGTATAAACAATAACACATCTTTGAATAAACCTATGACGCGTTGGGCGGATTTATTACGTAATAATCCAGAAACCGCCGTAACGAACCCGACTACACCTCTCAAGCCTGTAATGAAGCCGCCTAATTCTAACAAACAAGAAAAACAGACCGCACCTATACCGAATGGAAAGCCGGTTGTAGGCGGGCTTGCTGGTGAGTGATTTAAAAGAAATGAGTGAGTAGACACAACTTATAAATTACTAAAAAATTGTTATAGGAATCTTGACAAATTATGAACCGTCGTTTCAAAGAATCTCTCTTAAACCTCGCGGGTTAGTAAACAACGGTAATATGTGTTTCATGAATGCGGTACGGATATATTTTAAGATTTTAAAAACGTCTTAACATTGATGATTATCTATCCATAGTGGTAAATGACATTATCGGTTATTCTTATTAGATTTTACAGACACTTTCCTATTGTCCTCCATTTTATAATCTACTATCGCGTATTTCAAAAGAAGTGGCTCATAGCTTCAAAAGCAGGACGCCTTTGATTGATTCATTGTGAGTCTTTATTTAATTGTTATTGGAATTTATGTCAAAAAATGGCATTTACAAATCTTTTAATTCAGGGTAATGTTTATAAATGAGTATAAACAATCCAAAACTGATGAAGCAGAAGGTAATTAAATTAATTCAGATCTTTGTTTATGATATGTATAGCATGTATTTACTTCACACTTTCTTAAATTCGCTAGAATTCGGTGAGCATATTTTACCTGACTATGTCTACGACGCCTTACGGGGTCTCAAGCGATTTGATTCTATGAAGGGTCGACAGGAGGATGCTGAGGAGTTTCTAGGTTTTTTGCTTGATGGTTTACATGAAGAATTTTTAAGAGGTACGTGGGAAACTTGATTTATTTATTTTTTTCTAAAATAACTTGTTCATAATGCTCTTCTATCATATTAGTCTATAAACCTAGTAGGGCAACCAATGGACAAGTTGATTCTCATGATAAAGGAATGTTGTCAAAAGATGACTCCGAGGATATTTGGATGGAAGTCGGGCCGAGAAATAAAACGAGTTACACCAGAACGGTCTTTATATTAAGAATTATGTAATGATCTCTTATTTAGTTGATCGGTATAATTGTTTTACTTAATTTATTGAATTCTTTTTCCTTTAAGACTGATGTCGAGGAATCACCGATCAGTCTCATCTTCGGTGGTCAATTTCGTTCCGTGCTTCAATGTCCAGGTAGCAATGACTCGATAACCCGTCAACCTTATCAATCACTACAGCTGGATATTCAGGTTTGTCTATTATTATCCAATTCCCTATCCACGACTTTATCTTAAATAAAATTCCGAATTTGTATTTTTAGCCTGATGATGTAAAGACCATTGGAGATGCTCTGAAAAATCTTACAGCTCCTGAGAACGTCGAGTTCAAATCAGCAAAAAAGGGTTTGGTAAGATTAGTAAATTGTATAATTTCCCTGCATTTCCTCGAATTATTCTACTTCTAAACTTCATATTGAATAGGCCCGTGCAACGAAGCGGTTGTTTATTGAAAAGCTTCCTCCAATTCTTACACTTCACCTGAAAAGATTTTTATATGATAACGTAGGTGGCACGCAAAAATTGAGTAAGCATGTTGGCTATTCGACGACCCTATCTATCCCGCCAGGTATACTAATAATTTTCATGATTATCCGTGCACGTATTCTTCGCACATACTAACATTCTTTGCGGGAATCTCTTTTGCAGAGTTGATAGCTCCCGGGAGGCGCCCGAGCAACGCGGTGGATTATCAGCTCTTTGGTGGTTAGTTTAATTATCTTCTTCGCTTTCATGTTCATTATGCATCTCTATAAATTTATTTTGTTCTTTTAGTTGTATATCATCACGGAAAATCTGCCACTGGTGGACATTATACAGCCGATATTCTTCGTGACGAAAATGAATGGCTTCACATAGATGATACTACAATATCTCCGATTTCAGCAGATGAGGTCACCATGTCGGTGGATAATCTTTCCCAACCTACGGACCGATCAGCATATATATTGTTCTATATGCAAAAATTAAATAGATAGTATTACAGGTTTACAAAAGGTAACGGTTAAGAAAAAATATATACTATTAGTAATAATAATTATAATAAATATTAAATAAAGAAAAAAGTTGGATGCATTTCGTTCAAACATTTCTTAAACTAATAATTCTAGAATTGTTTTATATTTATCGTCATAGCAAGAATTATTAAGTAGATGACATAATTTATAATAAATATATTTAATATTAAAATTAGTTAAAACTTATTACTATTAAAATTAAAAAAACTTGGTTTTTACATTTTTAAATTTATATATTAAATACAAAAGTTATTATATTTGAAACTAATTATGTTTTTAATAAAATATAAAATAGATTTTTAACCTTATAAAATTATGAATTAAAACATAATTAATTTTTTAATTTTTAATCTTATAAAAAATATTATAAAATATTAACACAGTCAAAATATTATGATTTAAAAGGTATTTTAATCTGGTAACCGATTTTCTACCAACTTCAATTCAAAAAAAATAATATAGAAACTGCTTTTTCTATCTTATTCAAGTTTTTGAAAGCTTGTTAAAAACCATAATTACCAAAAGATTAATACAAATTGATTATACTATATTAGATCAAAGTTATTAATATAGAGCAGATTTATAATTTATTTATCAAATTTGTTTTTTTATCATATTTTTTTTATTTATATTAAAAAGTATATATATAGATTATAATATAATTAAATAACTAGTTACTATATTCTTTTTTTTATTTCTTTTTATAAGGATTTTTTTTAAGTTTATATATATTATTGTAAAAGTTTAAATATATTAAAACAGTTTAAATAATAAGCTTATAATTTGGCAAAAGAAAATCACAAAAAAAGATATGTGTTTATTTAAAAAATAATTATTATTTTATTAACTCAAAAGTGAAATACAAGTTTAAATTTATAAAGATAGACAGGTTACCTTTTTATAACTATTTTCTATTATTATTATTTTTTTTTTTTTTTTTTTTTTTTTTTTTTTTTTACATCTAATCAGGCTGTAATTACTGTGTTTATTTAATCTTGTATAAGAAGACATAACTGTTTACAGATATTTATGCATAAACTAATCACTTTTACAGCACACCCGTCAATAGCCACTGGCCTCTAGATGTGATTAAGGGAAATGAAAAAAGTTGCTCTACTTTGACCCATGTTCCTTGTGAATCTCCATTTCATCGCCAGCCTTTATTTAAGACTGTTCACTCCAACTTAACCTCTGTGATCCTAAGGTATAAAAATTTTTATTTTTCTTGAGAAGGTAAAGGGAAGAATAAAAGGGAAAAGAAAGGTTTGCACTGGTAAAATAAAAACCCATCAACACTACCAGCCTAATGAGAGCCTTGATCTTGAGGAGAAAAGAAATCAATACAAGAAGGGAGGGGGGAGACTTCCAAGCACTTCTTATCAAGAGGACACCTCGACATCTTGCTCTTTCGCTATATCCAATTACATCATCGGTTATGATGTGGTACGACGTGGGGCACGTGTGGATACATTTCTTGTTTACATTTCTTTTACTTGTCGATCAACCAATCCAAGATTTCAGCCAATCATCAACTAAAGAATCCAGTGTAACAAAAAATTCAGGGTCAAACTATAACTATTTTCTATTATTATTATTATTTTTTTTTTCCCAAGCAGTCAACGCAGGACTTTTTCAACCAACTTCTTAGCCCTCTGGTGTCTCTCCAGGATGCAGGGACAGTATTTATTAAATCCTACATACTCGTCTACAGCCTAAGCCTTTAAGTATAGACGTTGGGGGTGGAGAATTTGCTATATCAAGGCAAACGTTTCTTGTCTGCCAGGATAATCTTTACCAGTAGCCACCTACTACCGTTTTTCAACCGTTCAGTTTAGCCAAGACTTACTAGGATTTATTCAGTGAGATATCATTGACAGGATGAGGGTATACCAGTACACCAAATCCGTCTGGAAATCGGACCCAGTCTCATCCTTCCTAATCTAACCTAGCAACACATGTGGGGGGTTACATTTTATGGGGTCATGCAGTTAACCGTCGCAAGTGTACCCCTTAGGATAGAACATCCCGTGATACAAGCAACCTCCTGCACCTCCGACCAGATCCTCGCTACCATCGGACATGTGAAACTCTTACTGATAGTTGTGCGACTAATGGTTTTAGCTGTCTGTACCTTTCTTTCCACTACCGGAAAGATCCCATGAAACTTCTTCCCCCTTTTGGAGGTATTTCCTGGGTAATACTTGATCAGAAAGTTTACCAATCAGATCATCTATCTTTTTGACCTATGGGATGTAGTCTACCCATAAGGCTCCCTGATCATCGGAA